ATTGCTAGGCAGAAAGATAACGAAGATGATGTTGATTTATTTATGCGTAGTATCTCTATGACAGTTAAAAAAATGCCAGCTCATAAAATTGCTCAGGCTAAAATAAATATTTTGCAAGTGGTAACACAGCTACAACTGTCCGACGATATGGAAAACGAATATATTTTAACTAATCTGTGAATTTTTAGATTTAGGGAGCTTAATTTTAGAAATAAATTTTGATTTTAGTAAAACCGGAATTTTTATGACTCACCTTAATGTAACCGCAAGCTTTTCCTCTGGTGATATCGGATATTTCACAAAATGAGTGTAAGGTTTTACAAGATCTTCCGTAATAAGGTTTAACACAAACTTGAATTGATTATGGTTTAATATAAAGAATTCTCTAAACTTCTTTTCGTCGCCTTGTAAATGTGATTTGATCAGTATTTTGAAATAACCCTCTTCCTGTCTTGTCCGGTATATAGTTAATGTTTTAGCCCGTTTCATACGCAACAACTGAAGCAAGTCCTCTTCGTCCTCATCCTCCATCAAAAATAACGCAGCTAATTTAGCATCCATTTTTACTTTATCAGTCACGCTAATAAAAAGATAATTTAGTCTGTAACTGACAAAGCTGGACGTTCTACCAAAAACACCTGACCGTGACTGCCAGTCGTCACTGCCGGACGCCACTGCTAGACGCGACATCCAGCAGTTCTACCAAAAACACACCTTTAATCTACCATTTCCTCAGTTTGTGGAATTTGCAGAGAAACTGATTTCGCGGAATTAATGATTTATGTTTTCATTTTTATGTAGGTATTTATGAAAGAAAATTTATTTTTATACAACAAAATGTATCGAGGACGTCCTTATAATCCTGAGAAAGCTTTATAGAAAGATGACTTTGGTTTTAAAAGATTTACATTGATCAGGGACCCACTTTTTGCTTTCGTCTAGAGAAAAATAAGTGCTTGACGTGTTTCGTTTTGTCCCTTTTTTCTGTAAGAGGGTGCGTAAAAAAAAGCTGTCATATAAATCACAATCACTCGTCTAATTTGACTGGCGGGAGTGCGATTGTTTATTAAAACAAGAGAAAGTGTGTTCCGAAGTAGGTAACGTGGGAATTTCAATCACTTTTTGAATTTGACTGATCTGTTTTTTATTATTTATCACTAACAAAAAATCATGTATTTCTGACGGTAAAAATTGGCTGTTGGGTAAAATACAGTGGCGTAGCAGTAGGGTGACAGAACAGGTAAAATGTCACAGGCCACCAGCCCGAGAGGTCGTGAGGACAGGAGGAATCTAATATTTATTACAAACATTGGTAAAAAATATTAATTATTTATTTAATCAATTTAAATTAGGTATTAACTCAAGAACATATATGAATTATACAGATAAATTATCAAGATTTGAACATATTCGTAAGGAAAATATATCATTCAATTTTACAACGCATCCATCGCGCTAAATTCATTTTTTTGCCGCGGCACTTCTTTGATGAAGCGTGCTAGTAATGCTCGGGGAATACCCACATTCATTTTTGAAGAAAGTTCATGCACTACGTTAGAGTCAAATGAGTACTAATTGTTTTTAAGATTTATTCGGCTCTCAAGAAAACTTTTTTTTTCAATATGATACCTACGTTCTTTAAATTAAAATTTACTAGATAGATAATTAATCAAAAATGCACTGTTACATAGTACCTATCCATAAATTTACTGGTACAAAGTTTGTACATCTATATTGTTTATTTAAAATTGTAATCTAACATCTACCTGTCTAAGTAGGTTATTAGGTCAATTAGCGATGAATAAGTCAAGTCAAGTAGTTGAGAGTCGAATTGAAGATCACGAAGATGCAGGGTGGTGAGACGGCTTACCGTCTTCACTTATCCTGTGATAGTTCCCTGCCATTTCTACGTTCCCCAATTATCTAATAAGGTAGGCTAAGATTATTATTATATTATTAAATGATTAATTAACTATAGTTAAAATGTTGACAAGTCATTCAAAATTATATAATCAATGTTCAATATTAGATTAAAGTAGTTATATCCCATTACTAAACATATAAATTCGCTCGGCGATACAATATAAATATAATGGGCATGGATGGATTTTTCAGTTCTATCAAACCTGGAATAAGCTAGATGCTGTTTGAACCTAACGTGAATTGAACGCTTGGTATGTCCAATATATTTCATACCACAAATATTACAATCAATCCCCGACTTTTTAGAAAAGGAATTGTATCCTTAGGGACAGCAAGAAGAGTTTGAACTATACTCAAGTTTACGATGAATACCTTTGGGTCTTCGAGTAACTCTTGGCTGGTATGGCATAGTAATAACCTTGGTATTAATGGTTTCTTTTTGAAAAGTTGATTAAATAATTGCCTAGTACATATGTTATTAGTTTTCCACTAAATAAAAAGAGGTATCACAAGGGAGGATAAAATTTAAGAATTCCATTTTAAAATTCTAAACTTTTCAAAAGGAAACTATCAAAACCAAGTTTATTACTGTGTTGTACTAGCCAAAATTTACTTAAGGTATTTTTCGTAAACTTGGTTTCGAAATGTGTAAATTTGAACTGCGTTCAATATCTTTTTGTTAAATTTAAGGACAAAATTTCTTTTCTAGAAAAACTACGCGCTAAATTCACATTTAGCTTAGTCAAGTTTGGTAGAACTGAAAAATCTAGCGCTGCATATTCTTATCGAAAATCGTAAAATCAGTATTGACGATTTTAAATTAGCTAAGAAAATTAGAAATAATATTGTACTGTGATAGTTTTGAAAGTAGGTACGTTTATTTATAAAACCTGATCCATTATTGTGCTGTAAGATCCACTGTATCGTATTTTGGCGTAGGGATTGGAGCTATTTACAGTGTTCTAACTAATTTAAGCATCAATTTGTTACAAATAGTTAGGTACCTTCACGCTTTTTAAACTGAGAAAAATCGTTATTTGTTAATAATGTAAAGTAAAGACGGCATGCAGTCGATAAATTCTTTAGTTATGAGGAAAAGATATTGGCTTCAAAAGGCATTTCCGTTCCACGTTCAGTCAATGAACAGAAGTAATAAATATAAGCGTGATGGGAATATTTATGGGAACGGCAGACTTGGATGTGAATTCGATTTTGCCTTTCTGACAGAACGTGCGGAATGTTCTCGCTTTCTGCTTTCATCGCCTCTGTTCTGGCGAAGGTGATTGTTGTTGTTGCCGTTGCCTGGCTGTGCTGTTGTGGATGAATCGCTTGATGCAAAACGACTTTATAACAACTTGAAGGATATGGTGTTTTATACTTTTGCTTGCTTTCCATCAAAGGTTACGTTTCGAAGAAATAGGAAACAAAGTTGGCTCAACGACTGATATACATCAACTTGGAGTATATTCGATAAAGTAATGTGCAATAGCATTTATTTATCGGTTTACAAGCATTTATTTTCCCTTTTGGTTAGGTAAAAGTCAAACTTTCAAATACCGGCTTATTGCCTACTATTTTTCATAGATAGAGAAGTACTGTTCGTTTCAAGAAGTTAGAGATATGCCCCTTCCCATTATTAGGATGCGCCGTAGCATAATTCCAAATTCAATCAAATTTGTCTGCGGAGCTCATTCCTCCACCGATCATCGAGCGAGAACTAGGAAAAAGTGTACAGTACCATTTGAAAAATATTTAAACTGCCTCGTTAAAATTTAAGAATATGCTTTATTTAAAAGCATATTTAGCCAAAAATAATAACAAGTGAATTTACTTAACGCTCTACACACCTATAAAACNTCAACCATTTTACATCAAAATATTTACAACCCCATTTTGTTTCTGATCTTCTACACATTGTTATAACAGAAAAAATGGAATCCATAATTTGTTTAGCTTTGGGTTTATCTAATAAGTGAAGTTTTTCGAATCGTTTTCTATGAATTTTGGATTATATGCATTTATTAGCACACCACAATATCTTGTAATTTTCAGTATTACACAGCTGGCGTATATCAATTCGATATTGTTTTGCGGGCTGTTTTGTCGTAATTCATAGAATTTCGTAGTCCCATGCAAAGGTACGGTAAGTGTTGATTTGGTAGATGTCGATATTAATTTGGAACTTCAAAATTCCATGGACCATGACATTGAACCCGGAAAACAATATCAATCCAATATTTCAGATTATCCATTTCCAAGGTGTTTAAAATTTTTTGGGCTCTCTTCAGTTGAAGAATTAGAAGGCATTCATGGAATATCTCATTGTCTGCTTTTTAAGCTTCTAATACCTTCAATAGCAAATCTGAACAACTTTCATTTATCATTTTATTTAACGTTTGATCGGTGATACTAGCAAAACTTTTAACGGCAAAAATGTATTTTCAGTTAAAGAAGTAGAAGGCATTCATGGAATGTCTCATTGTCCGCTTTTTAAGCTTCTAATACCTTCAATAGCAAATCTGTGCAACATTCATTTATCATTTTATATAATGTTTGATCGGTGATACTAGCAAAACTTTTAACGGCAAAAATGTATTTTGCGTTTTACAAATCGAAAATACGCTTGGAAATGTATTTCAAATAAAATACAAAATGGTCAAAAGAGTATTTAAATGCAAGATAAAAACAGGTATTTTTATTTAGTATTTGCATGTTAAGTGCAAGTATTTCAAATAAATCACATTTCTGTATACGACACATAATTAATAAACAAGTTTTATCATCATTTCCATATTGACTTAAGTAAATTGGAAAATTGAGAATTTCTGAAAGTCTCACAGAACATTCTGTTTTGGAAAAAGTAAATATGTCGTTTACAAACATTATTTGTACAAGCTTATTTGAAAACTTCTTAATCGAAAATACCTTTGGCAGAAGAACAGTTTCACATCAGATAATTATAGAAAGTAAACTGAAACAGGCGCTTAGAAGGAGGTAGAAAGTTTTGAAGGTAGTTTTGCTTTTACTTTGGAAGTACCTTTTTATTATGAAACCGAAAAGCGTATAAAAGAAGTAATTATTACCAGAGGCGATCTGTATATCATCTTCTTTTTCGTAAAATCAACCTTTTCATCTTGAGTTAAAGCAAATGTTAATCTTAATATCAGATACTTTAGTTTAAATAAACAAAATTAAAATTACGAAGATTTCAGGGAGGAGATTTATTGATGTTCTTGATATTCTACTCGCTTATTATATCTGCTTTAAATTCCGAACATCTTTGGGACATTTGTAACCTTAACATTGGTACGTATATAATTTAGTACAGGTTGTTGGATAATGAATGTTGCAGATAACATAAGCCGATTCCCCTTTACCATTATCATCTATTATAGCAG